CCCAAGGCCCTTTATGTTTCAGATTTCTGAAGCCTTTCCCCATTTAAAAAAAAATTACACCCCTATTCTTCCTACCAAAGTGCATAACCTCTTATCTTCCCACATGGCATTCCATCTGCCATTCCTGTGCCCACTCTCCAAGCTTGCCCAAGTTCTACTGCAGCTTTCCTGCATTGTCAACACTACCTTTCCCTCCATCTATCTTTGTGTCATCTGCAAACATAGCAACTATGCCCTTTGTCTAGATCATTCATGTATCATGTGAATAGTTGTGGTGGTCCCAACACTGACCTCTGCAGAGCTCCAGTAGTCACAGGCTGCCATCCTGAAAAAGATGCCATTTTCCCCACTCTCTGCCTTCTGCAAGTCAATTAGTCCTCTATCCATGCCAGTACCTTGCCTCTAATAACATGGGCTATTATCTTATTTAGCAGCCTTCTGTGCGGTCAGATGCCTTCTGGAAGTCCAAATAGATCATGTCCACTGGCTCTTACAGGTACCCTTTCAGTCCAATGTATTGAATAGTGTGAATTAGCTGGAAGACAGATTTGAGTTTCAGTGCCTGTTTATGATGATGTTAATTTGGGCTCAGACTCATCCTTGTTTACTGATGATTTCACGAGTTTGGCTCAACCTGGTCAGTGGCCATTTACAGTCAGTATTTGTCTTTGTTTTAAAAAACTATTTTTAGTCCATGAAGGTCTCAAGCATTAGAATCATACTATAGAAATTGAATATTGTTATTTGTTTATTTTCTACAGTTCCTTTCTTTGTACCCATATTAGCTATTAATTTAAACGTTTCCTTCTCCCCAGGTGATGTCTCTTTCTTTAAGTATACTGCCATCATTCCCCCCTCAATAAAAACAACTGATGCCTGTCCTGTTGTTGGATACTACAGTTGCATCTGTAATCTTTACTTCCTGGGCAGTACACTATAGGAAGTATATTAAGAAAGTAGGGAAAGTACAGAAATGATTCACAAGAATAGTTCCAAGGATGACAAAATTTCAATTGCACAGATAGGTTGGAGAAGTTGATAAAGGTATTCACAGTGGACACAGACTTTTCCGAGGGAAGGAAGAGAGGAGAACAAGAGAAGATTAATTTATAGTGAATAGCTAATGAGTGATACATTTTCACAAAGCAAGTAGTTGGAATCTGAAATGCACTGTTGGAGAGGATGGTGATATCAGATTTAATTGTGGCTTTCAAAAAGGTATGGGATAAGTAGTTGAAGAGGAAACATTCGTTGAGTTATTCTTGAAGGTGGGACTGTGGGGCGAGCTGCATTGTTCTGTCACAAGGAATGGCAGTCTTGTGCTAAAACCATTCTCAATTCTGTCATGTGGGGTTCTAGATCACTAGGTGCAATTTTGCAACTAGTGATCTAGTGGCCCACCAGAGCAACTGTTGAAATTTAAATTCATTGAATGAATCTAGGATATAAATTTAGTATCATCAATGGCGCCAGGACACTACCATTGTTAAAACCCATCTCGTTAGCTAATGTCCTTTTGGGAAGGAGTTCTGCTATCTTTACCAGTTTGTGATGCATGTGATTCCAGAACTACAGCAATGTGGTTGATACTCTGAAATGGCCGTAAATAGGCACTTGGGACAATTAGGGATGGACAACTGAAGCACACTTTGCCAGCAATGCCCACATCCCATGGGTCCAAATCACTATGATTTGCATTGTTTCATCATTAACCTTGCAAAAATGACAACTAGCTATCAACCTCCCCAGATCTGCATGAAGATGCTGCATTTGGACATTAAACTTGAATGAACTTTGTCATGGAAAGTTTGCACTGGTAATTAACAGTGTAGATACCTTTTCATCAGAATTTCATTAATAGGCTATGGACCAAGTGCAGCTAAATGGGATTAGTGTCTGTGACGTTTGTTGGTCGGCATGGTGGGCCGAAGGTTCTGTTTCCTGCTCTATGGCACTGTAACAAAATAACAAAGTATAAAAGCACTTGTGCGCATACTTGAAGCATATGTGGAGCCAGCAAATTTGACAACTATAGTATATAACTTTTCACTTCTCTGATAGAGTTCTGTAGATGGCTTATGAGTGCATAACATAACAATGTTTGCATATTAACGAAGTTGACCTTGCAGAATGACTTCATACAGACCTTTCTGCTCTTTGGTTGAAGTTCGACTACCATAAATTTCGTATTTTTGGGAGTACTGCATTGTCAAAGGTGCTGTCCATCAGATAATTTGTTAAATGCAGGCCTTATCTGCCCTTGGAAAGCATTTCATGAAGTGCAGTGTCAAATGTTATTGTGGAAACTAAGAGCTCACGGTGTAAGAACTAGCACATTGGCATGGTTAGAAGATTGGCTGTCTGACAGCAAACGGAGAGTAGGAATAAATGAGTCTTTTTCAGATTGGCAAGATGTAACAAATGGTGTGCCACAGGGATCAGGACTAGGATCTCAACTGTTTATAATTTGTATAAATGACTGAGATGACGAAATGGCAGGAATGACTGCCAAATTTGCTAACAACATAAAGATAAGTTGTGAAGATGATATATAAAGAGATTGCAAAAACTTATAGAATAGTCTAAGGGAAAGTCAAAGATTTGACATTTGGTGTATATGAAAAAATTTAAGTTGTCCATTTTGACAGGAAGAATAAAAAAGTTTGTTATCTAAATGGTGAAAGGTTGCGAAGCTCTGAGATGCAATGAGATCTGGGTATCATCGTGTATGAAGCATAAAATATGGCAAACAGGTACAGCAAGGAACTAGGAAAGCTGATCGAATGTTATAATTTGTCATGAGGGGAATTGAAGGCAAAATTAGGGAGCTTACTGTTCAGTTATACAGGGCACTGATGAGTTCACAACTATTTGTTACTTTATTAAAATGTGATGCAGGCTGTTCAGAGAAAGTTTACCAGACTAATACCGAGAATGGGCAAATTGTGTGCTGAGGAAAGGTTGGACAGCATGTAATTAAAAAAAGTCTCACTGATGCACTTGTATAACTAAAGCATAACATTTTTACTTCAATGTTCAGTTCCTCTTTTGGAATAGGTGACATTGTTAGCCTTTTTAATTACATGCTGTATCTGCATAATAACTTGTAAGACATACACCAGAATTCCTGGATCCCTCTGCACCTCAGAATTTTGCAGTTGTTGTTTGTACAGGTATTATTCTTTTTTCTATTCTTTCAATGTAAAAACTTTCCGATGTTATACGGCATCTGCTCAATTTTTGCCCACTCACTGACCCTATCTGGTATCCATCTAATCCTCTTGATGTCTTCGCAACATACTTACTATGTATCTTAGTCTCCTGTGCTAAGTCAGATACCACTCCCTTCTTTGAAGTTATTAATGTGTATTCTAAAATGTCCCTTCAGAACTCCATTTATCATGTCCAGCCAATCAGAAAAAGACCAATTTATACATTTTTTTTGCCTTCTGCTACCAGCCAATTAGCACCATCCGTGCTAATATGTTATGCTCTCCACCATGAGCTCCAAATTTGCAGAATAACCTTTTACATGGCACTTTGCCAAATACCTTCTGGAAATCCAAATGCAATATACCTACAGTCTCTCCTTTAATCACATGTTACTAATTCACAGAATTTTAATCAATTGGTTAAATGCGATTTCTGTTTCACGAAACAATACAAATAATTTACCTTAAATTTTTCAAAGGGCTCATCTATAACCACCTTAATGATCAATTCTAGCACCTTCATCCTGACAGACACCAAGCTAAGTGACCTATAGTTTTCTGTCTCTCTCCCTTCTTGAATAGAGGGGTTGTAATTGGTACATTTCTCAGTGGAACCTTTTGAGACCCTAGCGAAGTTTGGAAAATTAACACTGTTGCATCAATTACCTTCCTTTAAGGTCCTAGGATGAAGTCCATCAGAAATGTGGGACTTATCACCCCACCTCACCAGTTTACTCAGTACCACTTCCCTTGTGATTGTAATTTTACCGAGTTCCACTCACCTTCTACTTCCAACATTACAGATATTTCTGAAATGTTTTTGTATCCTGTCTCACAAAGATAGAAGCAAAATATTTATTAATTTAATCCTTTTTTATTATCTACTATTAATATCCTATTCTTACTCTCAAGCCGACCAACACTCACTTTATCTATTTTTCTTTTTAGATACATGTAGAAACTCTTGCTATCCATTTTTATATTTCTAGCTATCTTCTTATACTCCAGATTACTTTGTCCTGATTCATTTTCTTATCATTCTCTGCCATTATCTATATTTTTACCAGTTATCTAACATGCCACCCATCTTTGTGCAGTTATAGGCTTACTTCTTCAGTTTGATACCTTCCTGATTTTCTTTAATGAACCACATTTAGTGGGTCCTCCCTTTGGAATTTTTCCTTATTGTGGGAATGTACTTATTTTAAGTATTTGGAAATGTCACCTTAAATGTCTGCAACTATTTGTCTATTGATCTATCCCTGAACCTAATTTTCAGTTCAATTCAGCTAGCTCAACTTTAATGCAATAGAGCTGACCTTATTTAAGTTCGCGATACTAGTTCTGACTCAATTTTTCCCTCTGAAATTAAGTGCAAAATTCAGTCATGTTGTGGTGTGATATTCATCACAATAGGTATCACATTTCTTGCTACTAGCTACAGAGGATCTTGTGAAGGTGCTACTGATGGGACTTCTGCACTTTGTGGTGCCTGCTTTAGGTTGTTCAAGTCTTTGAAATGTTTAGAAGTGAGGCTAACATTCCTACTGTGCAAACTATGAACTTAGCCTTGGGTTTGAGATCCCAGTCCTCAAATACTCTTTTATCACCAATGAACTAACAGCACAGGAAATTCAAACCAAAGAAGTCAGCAATTATGGGATGGCAGTGCAAATCTAGTTGTGCAGCCTGGATTTCAAGGCTGGATTTCTGGGGTCAGGGCCACAGTGTGAACAATGCTGAAATGGCCAATGTAGTGTAACACTGACTTTTCTCAATGTATAATAGGATATGACCGCCAGAGATTTGCTTCAGCAGAGATACACTCTTCCTAATGGTGACACTGCTTGGCGACATGCACCACTGGTCACTGCTGCCTTAGAAGGAAAGCTGGTAGTCCTTGATGGCATTCATCGTGTCAACCCTGGAACACTGGCAGTTCTTCAGAGGTAATGTTGCAAAATGAATGTTTGCTTCTCTATCTATGTACGTTTACATTTGATTTAATAATTGTCACTCACTGGGAGCAACAAACCCTTCTTGACGTTGTTAAATTCCAGACAGGTTGGAGAAACAAATCCGTGTTCCTAATCAGTGCACACTGCATTTATGATTTTGATTTTAATGATTTTCTCTGAATTCTAATGAGGTTTTCCAACAGATGTAAGTAGCCCGTTGTGCCTGTACCACTATTACCTCTTCCAATGATTTTAGCTGGTTTAATTCCCTGTCCGTGCACATCCTGGAATGGGTTGTTTTATTCTTTTCAAACTTTATGAAATACATCATATTTGTATTGTTGATAAATGATGTATTTTGAATCTTAGAAGTAAAGAACTTTGTTTATAAATATGTTACATGGAACTTAAATGAATTTTACAGCACAGAACCAGACGATTTAGCCTGACGGATCCATTTTGATATTTCTGGTCCACTTGAGCCTCCTTCCACTTCAACTTCGTTTAACTGATCAATGCGGCTCATATTTCTTGACAGAGGTGCAAAGAAAGACCATGTTTCTGGGGTTGGAACCAAAATCAGAGGGGAAGTAGTAGGCACATCTGGAGAGAAGGAACCATCATTCTCATTGCTTCCCAACACAGCAAAAGTTTTTGATTGCGTTATTCCTTTCCTGACTGCAGCCATTTTAAGCTGTGGGTGACATTTGTCTAAAAAATATACTATCCATGCAGCTTCCAGCCAAAACACAAGCTTTAAAACGTGGTTCTCGTCACATTGGTAGCATTCCCTATGGAAGTGTCCTCCAGACCTGTCAGGAGTTTGTGTTTTCCCACGCACTAAAGGCTGTGCAACGTGCATTACTGAGCTCCCAGCCATATCTTAAGTCAACTTTGTGAATCAAAAATTTAAGCCAATTAAAATCATGATTAAAAAGAATTGTTTCCTTTTTTTGGTTCCTTCACGGGATGTGGGTGTCGTTAGCTGGGCCAGCATTTGTTACTCATCGCTAGTTGCCCTTGAGTAAGTGGTATTGGCCTTCTGAAACTGCTGCAGTCCATATGCTGTATGTAGACTAACAATGCCATTATGGAGGGAATTCCAGGGTTTTGACCAAGTGACAGTGAAAGAACAGTGATATATTTCCAAGAGGCTTGGAGGGAAAGGTACAGGTGGCGGTGTTCCAATATATCTGCTGCCCTTGTCCTTTTAGATGGAAGTGGTCTTTGGTTTGGAAGGTGCTGTCTAAGGAGCCTTTTTCAATTTCTGCAGTGCATCTTGTAAATGGTACACACTGCTACTGAGTGTAGGTGGTGGAGGGAGTGAATGTTTGTGGATGTAGTGCCAGTCAAGTTGGTTGCTTTGCCCTGAATGGTGTCAAGCTTCTTGAGCGTTTTTGGAGCTGCACCCATCCATGCAAGTGTGGAGTATTCCATCACACTCCTGATGTGTGCCTTGTACGTGGGTTTGGGAGTCAGGAGGTGAGTTACTTGCTACAGCGTTTCTAGCCTCTGGCTTACTCTTGTAGCCACAGTACTGATGTGGATAGTCCAGTTCAGTTTCTGTTTAATGGTAAATCCTCAGGATATTAATTTGGGGTGTCAATGATGGTGATACCATTAAACGTCAAGGGGCAGTGATGGTTAAATTCTATCTTGTTATACAATTTGCTCCTAACTGTAGACAAGCAGAATGTAGAAACTTTTTGCCCCACTGATAAGTAAGGGATTCCAATAGTTAGATATATTAACTTGGCAGTGAGTATAAAGCTTGAGACTGTAAGTTGTATTGTCACTAAAATATTTAGAAACAAGGAAAAAAGAGGATGTAGAACTTGCTGTGATGTAGAGTATGAGAGGAAGTGAGAAATCCAATTGTGTGTTGATGGGAAGGGAGATCGATGGACATATTCTAAGATTCAAAATAAATCATGAGGGGCATAAATAAGGCAAATGTCAAGGGTCTTTTCCCGAGGGTGGGGAGTTCAAAACTAGGGGCCATATTTTTAAGGTGAGAGGAGAAAGATTTAAAAAAGGACATGAGGGGCAACTTTTTTTTTTAATGGAGACAGTGCCTTGTGTGTGGAGTGAACTGCCAGAGAAAGTAGTGGATTCAGGTATAGTTAGAATGTTTAAAAGACATTTGGACAAGTTTATGAATAGGAAACGTTTGGAGAGATATGGCCCAAGTGCAGGCAGGTGGGACTAGTTTAGTCTGGGAACATGTTCAGTGTGGAGTGGTTGGACCAAAGGGTCTGTTTCCATGCTGTATGTCTCTATGAGAATGAATAACAACACTAATATGAAATATGTCATAAAGTTTGAAATGAATAAAATAACCCATTCTGCCACAGAATACACATGGATAGGTAATTAAACTGGCTAATTTCAGTGGAAGAATTAGCCTTGGACAGGCACAATGGCAAACTAGACTGGGAGTGGCTACTTACAGGTAAATCTACATTTGGAAAGTAGAAGTCTTTTAAAAGTAGTATAGTGAGAATTCAGAGCCAGTATGTTTCTCTAAGAGTGAAGGACTAGGGCAGCAAGGCTAGGGAGCACTGGATGTCAAGGGATATTGAGACTTTTATGAGAAAAAAGAAGGAAGCTATGTCAAGGTACAATGCATTAAAAATAGGGGAAGCCCTTAAAAAGTATCAAGTGTAGGAGGTTGCTTGAAAGGAAAATTACGAGGGCAAAGGAGGCCACAAAATACCTTTGGCAGATGGGATCAAATAAAACCCCAAGGCTTTTTGAGTATTACCAGGGAAAAGGTGGGACCTAGTAGAGACAAAATGGTCAGCCTGTGCGTGGAGCCACTGCTCATGGGTGAAGTCTTAAGTGAATACTTCCCGTTTGTATTCACAGAAGAGAAAGTCATCATAGCTGGGGATTTTAGTTGGGATGGTGGTTCTACAACTTCCTAAGAATGATAAGCAGAGGCATACAGTTGCACACATTCCCTGAGCCTGATAAGATGTTATATCAGGCTGCTATGGAAGATAAGGGAGGAGATGGCTGGGGCCCTGGTGGAGATATTTAACACTTCGCTGGCCGCAGGCAAAGTGCCGGATCACCGGAGGATAACAAATGTGGCTCCTTTTTTCAAGAAGGGCAGCTGGGATAATCCAGATAATTACACACCAGTTTGTCCAATGTCAGTGGTAGGGGAATTATTGGATAAAATTCTGAAAGACAGGGTTAATCAGTTTTTGGAAAGGCAGGAATTGATCAGAGATAGTCAGCATGGATTTGTTAGAGGGTGATCCTGTCTGTCTAAATTAATTGAATTTTTTGAGAAGGTGACTAAATATATTGATGAGGATAGTGCAGTTGACGTGGTGTACATGGACTTCAGTAAGGCCCTTGACAAGGTCCCAATGGAAAGTTGGTCCAAAAGGTAAGATTCCACGGGATCCAAGGCGAGTTGGCAAACTGGATCCAAAATTGGTTTGCAAATAGGAGACACAGAGTGACGGTGAAGGGTTGTTTTTGTAATTGGAAGCTTGTGACCAGCGGTGTACCACAGGGTTCAGTATCAACTCTTGTTTGTTATTTATATTAAGAACTTGGATTTGAATGTAGAAGGCATAATTAGTAAGTTTGCAGATGACATGAAAATTGGTGGTATTGTTGATAGTGAGGAGAATGGTCTCAGGCTACAGTCTGATATTGAGCAGGTAGTAAATTGGGTAGAGTAATGGCAGATGGAAATTAATCGTGATAAGTTTGAGGTGTTGCATTTTGAGAGGTCTAATAAGGGAAGGATGTACGAAATGAATGATTTTACTCCTTAGGGAGTACTGAGGTACAAAGGGATCCTGGTGTACAAGTATATAGATCTCCAAAGTTGTCATCACCGTTAGACAGTGTGATGAAGAAGGTATACAGAATGCTTGCCTTCATTAGCCGGGCATAGAATACAGGAGCGAGGAAGTCTTGTCACAGCATTATAAAACATTGGTTAGGCCACAGATGGAATACTGTGTGCAGTTCTGGTCACTGTGCTGTCTGAAGGATGTGTTTACACTGCAGAGCATGCAGAAGAGACATTGAGGAGAGAATGGATAGGCTGGGTTTGTTTCCCTGGAGCAGAGGAGGCTGAAGGGGAATCTGATTGTGGCATAGAAAATTACGAGAGGCATAGACTGAAGTTGATAGTGAGAAACTTTTCCTCATGGCAGACGTGTCTAAATCCTGAGGTTTAAGGTGACGAGTTAATGGTTTAGAGAATAGAGAGACAAAAAATAATCACCCATATGCTAATAGAAATATGGAATGTGCTTCCTGAGAGGGTGTTGTTGCAACATTTAGGAAGCATCTAGATGAGCAATTAAAATGCTGGGGCATAGTAGGCTATGGCGCTAAGTGCAAGCAAATGGACTTAGTGTAGTTTGGTGTTTATTGGTCAGCATAGACAGGGTAGGCTAAAGGGTCTGTTTCTATGCTGTATGACTCCATGACCCTATGACTCTCAGTTACTTTGAGATGAAGTACAGATGGAAGAGGCTCGTGTGTGCGTAAGCATTGACGTAGATCTGATTCTTTTCTGTAAATAATGTGTTATATAAACTATCTTGCATGAGTTTATTCAGATTATACTGATACTTATTTGAATAAACATTGATTCATTTTACATCAAGAAATTAAAGCAGAGAAACTTAGAAAACAATTTGAGAAAGTTGCTCTCATTTCACAAATAAAGTGCTAGCCCTGTGATTCTTCCATACTGCTGCGAAGTTTGATTTAGACCAATGATTATCTAAGACTCTCTGTGGAAAGATGATAACAAAATAATTGCAGTGCTTTTGATGTCCAATGTCATATCTGTACTTTACGTGACTCATTTGACTGTTTTAAGAAGTGATACCTGTTTAATGTATTTTATATTGTAATACAGGAACTTAGAGAACCAGTACAATATAGAATAAGCAATTTGAATGGGCCCAGTTATCTAAGGCTTTTCATGTGACAAGATCTGAAGCAAATTTGTACAATACGATTTGAGACTACATTCTGCTGTCTGTTGCTTCTGTGACAGACTCTAAAAGATTTATTGCCAATATCTTGCTATTTTCATAAAGGCCTATAAATGCCTTCTCTTTTAAATTAGTTTTCCAGTTCTCCTTTTAAGGACGCTACTACATCTGCTTCCGCTATCCTTTCAGGCATCACATTGCAGATAATATCAACTTGATATTGTCGAGGAATTATTGTATTATATTGGATGTAGAGAAAGAATATTCTGTACATCGTCTCTCTGGTTCTTTTGCTAATTGTATTAATCTGTTTCCTGACCCATCTACCAGTGGAAACAATTGCCCCATGACGACTATTGAAAACCGTGAAAACTATTAAAACCGTATTGAAATGCATAATGTTTTCATCATTGTCTGTTGCAGGTTCTGAAAAGCATTAATTGGCTTGAACTTCTTCTACAGGCTTATTCACGACAGGGAGTTGACACTGTACGATGGATCCCGATTACTCAGGACCGACCGATATGAAGAGTTGAAAAAGGTGCTTGGTCTGTCTGACGAAGATCTTCAAAGGAGGTACTGGCACATACTTGGTGTAAAATTATACACTAATTAAAGCTGTTTTCACTCCCAATTGTAAACATGCCTAAATTACTTTTTGTCTGACATGATTTAGCCAAAACTTAAAGCCCGTGGACTTGCAGTTGTTTTTGATCGTTATATGCAAAAACTTTCAAGCCGGAACTGGCTGACTAATGCCTGCGATGACTGTTGTGTGAGTTGAAAGTTCTAAAAACCGCATTAAGTTCCACCCAATCTGATGACATAAGGGCTTGGATGGGCCAAGTAGAACAACTGTGGATCTTGAAAGGGACAAACCCACCATCTAGGTCTCTACATAGTCTTTGTAACAATGTCTGTCTTAATAATGTAATTTGTACTTGATTGCTATCATGAAATAAACCATAAATCATGGATTAGGCATCGGCCTCCGGAATTCAAGTTACACCCGGGGCTTGAGGGTTTGGTTTGCAGTGAGGGGAAAGCTGAAGTACTTTCTATAATTCTGTCAGTCTAAGGGGTGACAGGGCTCAAGTTACCCTGTGATGTCATGTTGTAACGGGCAGCACGGTTGCTCAGTGGTTAGTACTGCTGCCTCACAGCGCTAGGAATCTGGGTTCAATTCTAGCCTCCTGTGTGGAGTTGGCACATTCTCCCCATGTCTGCATGGGTTTCCTGTGGGTGCTCCAGTTTCCTCCCACAGTCCAAAGATGTGCAGGTTAGGTGGATTGGCCATGCTAAATTGCTCGTGTGTATAGGGATGTGCAGGCTAGGTGGATTAGTTATGAGAAATGCAGGGTTACAGGGATAGGATAAGATAGGGGGGCTGGGATGCTCTTTGGAGTGTTGGTGTGGACTCGATGGGCAGAATGGTCTGTTTCTACACTGTAGGGATTGTATTTTTTTATTCATTGGATGAGGGCATTGCTGGCCAGGCCAGCATTTATTGCCCATCCCTAACTGCCCAGAGGGCAATTGCTGTGGGTCTGGAATCACATGTTGGCCAGACTGGGTGAGGATAGCAGTTTGCTTCCCTAAAGGACATTAGTGAACCAGATGGGTTTTTCCGACAGTCAACAATGGATTTGTGGTCATCATTAGATTCTTAATTCCAGATTTTTAAAATTGAGTTCAAATTCCACCATCTACTGTGGCGGGATTCAAACCCAGGTTCCCAGAACATTATCTTGGCCTCAGGATTAACAATCCAGCGATAATACCACTAGGCCATTGCCTTCCCTGTATGCCTTGCTAAAGACTGGTTCCTCTTCTCGTTAGACTGCCTAGTGGCTTTCTTCGAGCATTTTAGACCAAATAGGCCATGTGGACGCAGTTAGCAAAGGAGATAGTGGCTGCAAACTGCATTTATTAATGTTGCACGCAGATGCGACATGCTGCTACCAATGGTCGTCTGTAGGTTTAATCGAGGTGCACCATTACGGTAGTAACTGTTATGAGCTGTTGTGTGGTTTTAAATTACTACTTGTTAGAAGACAAATGATAGGGGTCTCGTTTTCCAAATCAAAAAAGTAAATCCATTTCCTTACGTTCCTTGGGATCTCACCTGTAATAGATGGACTCTGTGGCAAGAAATACGCAGCTTAACCAATCTTCTATTTGAAGTGAATCAATTCATTAAAATGGAATTACTTCAGTAGTCAGACTCTGATTCCCAAATACCAGATAAATTTTCCTGTTCATTTTCCTCTGCTTAATTTTATTGGTAAGTAAGAACTATTCTATTATTTTCTAAGTTTAATTTTGAAACAAGTTTACAAGGCAATTTCATCCAGTAAATTAATCAGGCTGCAAAATTAATTTCCATGGGTTGGTAGCTGAGGCACGAACCATGATAGTATTGAAAGTCACAAATCAATCGTGATCTTATTGAATATCATAGTGGGCTAGAGGAACTGAACAGCCTCCTCCTGCTCCTAGTTCGTATTTTTGTATGACTGATTAATTGAATGGGTAGATGAAGCAAAAGGCTAAAAAAGAAGTGGGGAACAGAAAAAAGAAAGCCTTGCATTTACGTTACCCCTCTCATAACTTGCACACTTTGCAGCTAGTGAAGTTATTTGAAGAGTTATCACTGTTGTAGTGTAGGAAATGTGACCACCAATTTGCACTTACAAGGTTGCACAAATAGCAATGTAATCATAGAACATAGAACATTACAGCGCAGTACAGGCCTTTCGGCCCTCGATGTTGCGCCAACCTGTGAAACCAATCTGAAGCTCATCTAACCTAAACTATTCCATTATCATCCATATGTTTATCCAATGACGATTTAAATGCCCTTAAAGTTGGCGAGTCTACTACTTTTGCAGGCAGGGCATTCCACGCCCTTACTACTCTCTGAGTAAAGAACCTACCTCTGACATCTGTCCTACATCTATCACCCCTCAATTTAAAGCTATGTCCCCTCGTACTAGCCATCACCATCCGAGGAAAAAGGCTCCCACTGTCCACCCTATCTAATCCTCTGATCATCTTGTATGTCTCTATTAAGTCACCTCTTAACCACCTTCTCTGTAACGAAAACAGCCTCAAAACCCGCAGCCTTTCCTCATAAGACCTTCCCTCCATACCAGGCAACATCCTGGTAAATCTCCTCTGCACCCTTTCCAATGCTTCCACATCCTTCCTATAATGCGGTGACCAGAACTGTACGCAATACTCCAAGTGCGGCCGCACCAGAGTTTTGTACAGCTGCAACATGACCTCATGGCTCTGAAACTCAATCCCTCTACCAATAAAACCTAACATACCGTACTCCTTCTTAACAACGCTATCAACCTGGGTGGCAACTTTCAGTGATCTATGCACGTGGACACCGAGATCTCTCTGCTCATCCACGCTACCAAGAATCTTACCATTAGCCCACTACTCTGTATTCCTGTTACTCCTTCCAAAGTGAATCACCTCACACTTTTCCGCATTAAACTCCATTTGCCACCTCTCAGCCCTGCTCTGCAGCTTATCTATGTCCCTCTGTAACCTACAACATCCTTCCGCACTATCCACAACTCCACCGACTTTGGTGTCATCCGCAAATTTACTAACCCATCCTTCGACACCCTCATCCAGGTCATTTATAAAAATGACAAACAGCAGTGGCCCCAAAACAGATCCTTGAGGTACACCACTAGTAACTGAACTCCAGGATGAACATTTCCCATCAACCACCACCTTCTGTCTTCTTACAGCTAGCCAATTTCTGATCCAAACCGCTAAATCACCCTCAATCCCATGCCTCCGTATTTTCTGCAATAGCCTACCATGGGGAACCTTATCAAACGCTTTACTGAAATCCATATACACCACATCAACCGCTTTACTGAAATCCACCTGTTTGGTCACCTTCTCAAAGAACTCCATAAGGTTTGTGAGGCACGACCTACCCTTTACAAAACCGTGTTGACTATCCCTAATCAAATTATTCCTTTCTAGATGATTATAAATCCTATCTCTTATAATCCTTTCCAACACTTTACCCACAACCGAAGTAAGGCTCACTGTTCTATAATTACCAGGGTTGTCTCTACTCCCCTTCTTGAACAAGGGGACAACATTTGCTAGTCTCTAGTCTTCTGGCACTATTCCTGAAGACAATGATGACATAAAGATTAAAGCTAAAGGCTCTGCCATCTCCTCTGTAGCTTCCCAGAGAATCCTAGGATAAATCCCATCCGGCCCAGGGGACTTATCTATTTTCACACCTTCCAGAATTGCTAACACCTCCTCCTTATGAACCTCAATCCCGTCCAGTCTAATAGTCTGTATCTCAGTATTCTCCTCAACAACATTGTCTTTTTCCTGTGTGAATACTGACGAAAAATATTCATTTAGCGCCTCTCCTATCTCTTCGGACTCCACGCACAACTTCCCACTACTGTCCTTGACTGGCCCTAATCTTACTCTAGTCATTCTTTTATTCCTGACACACCTATAGAAAGCTTTAGGGTTTTCCTTGATCCTACCTGTTAAAGACTTCTCATGTCTCCTCCTGGCTCTTCTTAGCTCTCTCTTTAGGTCCTTCCTGGCTAACTTGTAACTCTCAAGCGCCCTAACTGAGCCTTCACACCTCGTCTCTACATAAGTCTCCTTCTTCCTCTTGACAAGAGATTCAACTTCTTTAGTAAACCACTGTTCCCTCGCTCGACCACTTCCTCCCTGCCTGACAGGTACATACTTCTCAAGGACACACAGTAACTGTTCCTTGAACAAGCTCCACATTTCAATTGTGCCCAGCCCCTGCAGTCTCCTTCTCCATCCTGTGCATCCTAAATCTTGCCTAATCGCCTCATAGTTGCCTTTCCCCCAGCTATAACTCTTGCCCTGCGGTATATACCTATCCCTTTCCATCGCTAAAGTAAACGTAACCGAATTGTGGTCACTATCACCAAAGTGCTCTCCTACCTCCAAATCTAACACCTGGCCTGGTTCATTACCCAGTACCAA